GGACCGGGGAGCTATGCGTGCGTGTGGCTTCGCTCCGCGTGGGCCTTCTCAGTGCTAGTGCCCCTGCAGGCGGAGCCTGGCTCTGGGGCATCCACACGCTGGGAGTTGCTTCGGACTGTCGGGGGGACCCACAAGAGCTGCCACTGTGGGCGTCCCACAGCTGTAGCCCTGAATGGTGACTGTGGGTTTCGTGACGACTGGGCGCAGACATGTGGAGTCTGTGAGCTTGTGGTTTAGGTCACTCGTATCTTCCTTTAGCTGTTGCTTCTGGTGTAGGATGTCACCCCGCCCCACAGACGTGGACACCCAGGCTCCCATAAGCCCGCCACAGTCCCACGTTCATGGGATGGGGTGGCGAATCCCATGCATCACGCGCTGTGGGTTTGCGAGTGGCCCCAGGGTGCAGTCTCTGTGGGACAAGGGCATCGGTGTGGTAACTGCTGGACAGTCAAACACGCAGCGTTAGGAGCTTTGTGTCTCAGGAGCGAAAGCCAGCGTCACGGTTTCTTTTCTGTCATAGGTGTCTCCCAAATTGCAGTCCGCTGTGCCGCCTGGGAAGCAGGCCTCCCTGGAGATGGCACTTCTGGAAGCGCTCCTCGACCTGGTGGACAGGTACTGGAGTGGCTGCAAGTCCCTGCACGGCAACGAGGTGTTCCTAGGTGAGTCTGGAGGGGACAGTCAGCTGGTCAGTGCGACCCAGGCACAGGTCCCTGCTCTGGGCAGCATTGCTGGACCCTCTTCATGCGCCGTCACTTGGCCGCTGTGTGTGGGGAGCACCCTAGTGTTCCTCACAGCGGCGGGGGGCTTCCCTGACGGGCGGGCCATGAGGGCCTGCGGCTGTTGGGTTTTTCACCTGCTGCCTCTTGGGGATGAAGGCGTCTCGTCGCCTGGTTTATTGGAAACGCTGTTCCCAGGCGTTGGTTCTCGTGTCTGTTTTCACGTGGGGATTTGGAGAGGTCACAAAGCTGCTGCCGTCCCCTCCGAGTTTTCCACGTGTCTGAGGTCGCACGGGGCCAGGTTTGCCAAGGTTCTGTCTGGTGCCTTCGTGCAGGAGCACACTGGGGAGCCCTCCACCCAGATTCTGGGTAGGAGACAGGGTGCTGTGTCCCCAGGGTGCCGCCTTCTCTTCCTCCTTCAGCCTGGGGTGCAGCTTTCAGTGTCCCAGGGGAGCAGGGATTTGCCACCCCTCCTCTTTGACAGGCCCAGGCCCCAGCCTGGATCTGCCATCCTAGTCACCAACAGAGGCTCCGAGTGTTACGGCCCCTCAGCCTCTCCTCCTGGAATTGGGGTGTCCTGAGAAGCTGGAGCTCATGAGTGCCAACCCTGTAAACTACACCCTTTTGTTACGGCGCAGTGGGACTGGTCCGCGCCACGGACTCTGTCCGCAGTCGTGGAGCTGCCACGCGGGGTTTGCGTGTAGGTCCCTGCCGGGAGCAGGAGTGCCCAGTGCTGCTGAAGAGAGCGTGAACCACCCGGTCCTGGCCTTCGCCTAAGGCCTGCCTCTCCGGGGAGCAGCTGCTCCTCACCTCCCACCCGTGGCTGGTCGTGAAAAGCACGCGCGCAGGTGACTTTAGTGGTGCCCACGTCCCTTTCGCAGTCTCCGTGCTGGTTAGTGCTTTTGAGGTGTGTTGCTCAGAATGTATCGAACGTATTTTGTTCACACTTCATTCTTTCAGTGCAAACGCTATAACAATACTTGATTTTTGCTCCTAGCTCAGGCGAGACATATTTTGTCATCTGTTGAAGAATTGACAGCGACTCAGGACAGTTCGACAACTGTGAATGAAGAAATCAGCTACCTGGCTCTCGAGAACAAATCTTTGCAAAATCGCCTCGCCGACCAGCAGCAGCAGTACAGCCTGAAGATACACGAGGTGGTGTCGGATCTCGAGCGCGCTCGGAAGGAGATGGTGAGCCCGCCTTTGTGTCACTGCCCTTTGTTCGAAGATGGGGTGCAGACGTCCTTTTGATTCACAGAAGAGGGGCGGTCTTGACTCTGCATGTCCCTCAGCCGCTGTCAGGCTGCAGCCCTGCGGCCTCTCTCCCGCCCTTCCCGGATCCCAAACCCCCTCCTCACCAGGCTTGCACCACCCTCAGAGACTCCAGCCTGACCGCGTCGCTCCCGGACCCTATGACAACAGCAATTCGCAGATGGTAGCATTGCCACTTCTCCCGGTTCTGCCTCTCCTGGGCAGCTGCCTGCTCTTCTGAGAGAGGCTGAGTGGGAGAGACAGAGGGAAGATGAAGCCAGGCTTGAAGTGGCGTTTTTGTGGCCCCATGTTCCCTGATCCAGGCTCCCCAGACCACTGACGAGAGGGGCTCCGCTTCACTGGGTGATCTTGAGTTCCTGCTGCCGCTCTGCTTGCACCAGCCACAGAGCCCAGCGTGTCCCGTGGGACCGGAGGGAATGGCCACACCAGGTGGCACCTTAGGGCAGCCAGAGCCAGCACAGTTGGGCCTAGCAGCGGAGCCCAAGACTCGTGACCGGGCAGGGCTGCCCTTGTCCCTTGTGACCTCACTGGAAGACCATCACGCATAAACGTCTACATTAAGAAAGATCTCAAATTAGCAACAACTTTATACCTCAAGGAACTAGCAGAAGAGCAATGAACTCAACCCAAAGTTGACAGAGGGAAGGAAAATGATAAAGATCAGAACAGAAATAAAACAGAGAATGGAAAACAACAGAAAGACAGCAAGACTGAGCCGGGGTTTTGAGAAAGTGTACCAAACCAGCAAGCCCCAAGCCAGACTAAAGGAGACGACCACAATCAGAAATGACCGAGGCGACATCACAGTGGACGCCTCAGAGATAAAGAGCG